CTTCTTATTACATACTACATTCCAGAACACATTTTGGCATCTCTCTGACATCCACTTTGGCCTTTACTTTCTTTCATGTCTTTTTTGTGGTCTTTTGTTTTCTTTCTTTATGGTGTTTTTGTTGTCATCCCATAACTCTTTTGGTTTTTAGTCATTAGTATCTAATGTGCCAAATCTATTCTTGAGGTAGTCTCTAAATTGAGGTGGGGTATGTTCAAAGCCATATTTTGACTTTTGTGGACTTATTTTAATTTTCATCTTCAGCCTGAACTTGCATATGACTATTCCATAATCAGCTTCTGGCCTTGCTTTGGCTGATGATATTGAGTTTCTCCATTGCTTCTTCCCACAAATGTAGCCATTTTGATTACTGTGTGTTCTACCTGGTGAGGTTCATGTGTATAGCACTGTTTATGTTGTTGAAAATAGGTATTTACAATGAATAAGTTGTTGTTCTTGCAAAATTCTATTATGCAATCTCCAGTCTCATTTCTATAACCAAGGCCTTATTTCCCACTTACTGTGTACAACTTTCACATTCTGATCACCAGCAATTAATGCATCTTGATTGCATATTTGATTAATTTCAGACTGAAGAAGTTGGTAGAATTCTTAAATTTCATCATCACTGGCTTTAGTGGTTGTTGCACACATTTGAATGATAGTAGTTTTAACTAGTCTTCCTTGTAGGTAAATGGATAATATCCACAGACAGCATTGTGCTTCAAGATAGGTCTTGAAATTCTCTTTTTGAAATGATTTTGACACAATTCCTCTTCAATTTGTCATTCCTGGCATACTAAATCATATGATTATTTGGTTCAAAATGGCCAATACCAGTCAATTTCAGTTTACCAATGCCAAGTCATTTAGGTCAACTCTACTTTGAGAGGCGTCCTGGTGCTGCACTGTAGGATAAGCATTCAACTGAAAGGTTGGTTTGAACCTCAAGGCTGATGGCTCAAACTCACCAGCAGCTCCTAGGAAACTCTATACTGGATCACTATGAGTCAGAACCAACTTGATGGCACTTAACAACAACTACTACTTTGAGACAGCAGCTCTACTCAGTCATATTTTGAGTGACCTCCAACCTGAGAGGCTCACCTTTTGGCCCTATATCAGATAATATTCCACTGTTATTCATAATTGTTTTCAGTGCCTAACCATTCAAAAGTGATTCACTTTCCCTTCTTCCTGGTCTGTCTTAGTCTGGAAGCTCAGCTGAAACCTGTCCACATGTGTGACTTTGCTGGTATTTAAAATATTGGTGGCATAGGTTCCAGCATCAGAGCAACACACAAGCTACCACAGTACAACAAATGGACAGATGAGTGGTGGCAGAGAAAACTAGCTAAAGAACGGATAGTGAGATTTCCACGGTCTGGACACCTCCTAGCTATCTTCCCAACCCCTTCTTCTGACATTCCAGGACTCACTTTATGCTCCAATAACAACTTGCACTATGCCTTTTCTTGTTCACTAAAAACTATCACTCTTGCTTGAAATGCTCACCTGGTGGAATTCACTACTGCCCTCCTTAACTCTCATCCTCCCTTCTGCGTCCAGCTAATTATCTGTTTCTTTTAAGACTGTGTTGTTGTTAAGTGCCAGTGAGTTGGTTCTGACTCATAGTGGCCCTGTTAAGGGTTTCTGAGTAGTGACTGGTGAGTTTGAACCACCGACCTTATGGTTCAAACCAACCTTGTAGTCCAGTGCATTATCCTGTAATGCCATACCAGGTCAAATGCAAGGAATATGTTCCCGAGTCCCTCTCCCTACCATGACTAGGTTGGATTCTTTTTCCTTTGTGTTTCAGTATCACCTTCCTATATCATTCCTTTCTATCATTGCCCCGTAGTATGCCAACTTATAGGTTTATCTACTTCATCAGATTTCTCAGGATACAAGTACTGTTTTATTCATAGGCATGGGGCTGCTAACCATATAGTCAGAAATTCGAATCCACCACTGCTCCATAGGAGAAAGATGAGGTTTTCTGCTACTGTAAAGATTTACAGGCTCGGAAACCCTATACAGGGTTGCTATGAGTTAAGACTGACTCCACAGCACACAGTAGTAGCAGCAGCAGCAGCAGCACACTATTAAATCTCTGGATTTATGCTCAGTTAAAAATGGAGCGGTTAATAGTTCAAATCTGCCTAGTGGTGTGGAAGAAAACCCCATGGAGTACAGTTCTAATCTGAACACAAGGGGTTTCAAAACTGATTTGGTTTTGGTGCAAAGTAAGTGTTTAATTGTGCTTTATTGGATATGCAAAGGCTGGCTGTGTGGATCATGACACTTAATTGTGCTCTGAGGAACCTGTACATAGGCCAAGAGACAGTCATTTGAACAGAACAAGGGGATACTGAATGGTTTAAAATCAGGAAACGTATACATCAGGGTTTTATTCTTTCACTGTATTTATTCAATCTGTATGCTGAGCAAATAATCAGAGAAGATAGAGTATGTAAAGTAGAATATGGCATCAGAATTGGAGGAAGATTTGGTAACAATCTGAGACATAATTGATACAATTTTGCTTGATGAAAGCGAAGAGGATTAAAATACTTACTGATGAAGATCAAAGACCACAGGGTTCTGTATGGGTTGCACCTTAATGTAAAAGAAAGCAAAGATCCTCACAATTGGAAGAAAAATAACATCATGATAAATGGAGAAAAGACTGAAGTTGTGAAAGACTTCATTTCACTGATATCCACAATCAACACTTACGTAAGTAGCAGCCAAGAAATCAAATGTTGTATTGCATTAGGCACATCTGTGGTATAAAAACTCTTTAAAGTGTTCAAGAACAGAGATCAGTTTGAGGCTTAAGGTGCCCTTGACCCAAACCATGATATTTTCTATAGCCTCATATGCATGTGAAAGTTGGACAACAAATAAGGAATATTGTAGCAGAATTGATGCAATTGAGTTACAGTGTTGGAGAAGAATATTGAAAGTACCTTGGACTGCCAGAAAAACAAGCAAATCTGTTTTGGAAGACGTACTGTCTGATTGCTCTTCACAAATCAGGATGGTGAGACTTTGTTTCTTATATTTCAGACATGTTATCAGGAGGCACCAGTCCCTGGAAAGGGACATCATGCTTGGTAGAGTAGAAGGTCAGTGAAAAAGCAGGAAGACCCCTACCAAGATGGATTGGTACAGTGATAAGATGCATTACTTTTATAGTCCTAAATCAAGAATAAGATATGCAAGCTAAGTTAGGGATAATTTTGAAATCTACCTAATATACTGTACTCTATACTTACTCAACCTGTATACTGAGCAAATAATCCGAGAAGCTGGGTTATATGAAGAAAAATGTAGCATCAGGATTGGAGGAAGACTCATTAACAACCTGAGATATGCAGATGATACAACCTTGCTTGCTGAAAGTGAAGAGGACTTAAAATATTTACTGATGAAGATCAAAGAGCACAGCCTTCAGTATGGGTTACATCTCAATGTAAAGAAGACAAAAATCCTCACCACTGGACCAATAAACACCATTCTTATCAATGGAGAAAAGATTGAAGTTGTCAAGGTCGTCATTCTTCTTGGGTCAATTATCAATACTCACAGAAGCAGCAGTCAAGAAATCAAATGACGTATTGCATTAGGCAAATTTGCTGCACAAGACCTTTTAAAGTGTTGAAGAGCAAAGATGTCAGCTTGAGGACTAAGGTGCTCCTGACCCAAGCCATGGTATTTTCAATAACCTCATATGCCTGCGAAAGGTGGACAGTGAATAAAGAAGACCATAGAATTGATGCTTTTGAGTTATGGTGTTAGAGGAGAATATTGAAAGTGCCATGGCTGCCAAAAGAACCAATAGATCTGTTTTGGAAGAAGTGCAGCCAGAGAGCTCCTTAGAGGCCAAGATGGCCAAACTTCGTCTATCATACTTAAGACATATTGTCAGGAAGGACCAGTCACTAGAGAAGGATCTCATGTTTGGTAATATGGAGGGTCAGAGAAAAAGAGGAAGACCCCCAACGAGATGGATTGGCCAAGTGGCAGCATCAATGGACTCAAGCGTGGCAACAGTAGTGAGGTTGGCCCAGGATTGGGTAGTGTTTTGTTCTGCTGTGCATAAGGTTGCTATGAGTCGGTACTGACTTGGTGGCACCTAACAACAACAACAACAATCAGGAATCTATCAGAGTCGTAGTGTGGTGCTATATGTTAATGCGCTCAATTGTAAAATTGGTTTGAACTGCAAGATCGGCAGTTCAAGTTCACCAGCTGCTCCTCGGAAACCCTATACAGGCTCACTATGGGTTGAAACCAACTTGATGGCACTTAACAACACCAACAACCAGGAATTGAGGTTATTTCCTTGCAAATTCTCTGTTATTATTGTCCCACACAAAGAAAAATCATACATCTGTCACCTGGGAAGGTTGTTACTGTTAAACAGGGAGTAGTGCTAGTAGGAACTTGGAGAGAGATTTAGAGAAGATAAAGCAAGGGTTAGGATACTGCCTCCATCACTAAAAAGGTGCTCACTTAAGTATCAGCTACTAAATTGCAAACTTTCTGAACATACAGCTACCATGGATTATCCAACTTTGTATAATTTATACAGGGATACATAGGCAATATTATAAGTTTAGTTCCAGGCCATGACAACAAAATTAATATCACAAGAAGGTGAGTCACACAATTTTTTGTTTCCCAGTACATATAAAATTTATTTTTTTATTATATTTAAGTAATCATGTGAAGCTGTAGGATAAGCACTTGAATTCAAGGTCAGTTTGAACTGCAAGGTCGGTGGTTCAAACTCACCAGTCACTCCTTGGAAACCCTATACATGGTTGCTATTAGTTGGAACTGGCTCAATGGCACTGTACTAAAATGAAATTTTGCATATATTGGGTGCCTCAAAATATTTATTATTAAATAAATGGTTAACTAAAATTGCCTTTATATTGTTGTTTTGAAACTTTCAAAAAAGTGAAAACATTTGGAAAGTATATACTTACAATTGAACCACAGGATGAAATTGTTTTCTGAATTCCAGTTTCAGAGGACAGCCATATGCTTTCCAGTCATACTGTACTTTCTAGGAAAGGAAAATACTCTAGTTATTTTACATATTTGACCCATTAACAACATTATAATTTTCTTACCAAGTTTTTAGATGGTTGATGCCTCAGATATGACCTGGAAAAAAGACATTTTACATTATTTACTTCTCTTTTCCTCTTTTCAAATGTAAAAACTAAAAATGACTACTTTACTTTATTTAGATATAGATTTTCCTAGGTAAGACAGTGTCATGAAAATAAATTGGATAACTATAATTTAAAATTACTGAGTGCTACTATGTTTCAGGTACTTTCCACATATAGTATTGTTGTTGTTAAGTGCCGTCGAGCTGGCTCTGACTCATTGTGACCCTGTATAGGGTTTCCGAGGAGCAGCTGGTGCATCTGAACTGCTGACCTTGTGCTTCAAACTGAGATTGTAGTCCAGCACTTATCCTACAGCACCACACCAGGACTCCTACATATAATAGTGTATTCTTATGGTAATCAATAGGGTGTGAATTGTTATCCTCTGCTTGTGTATATATGACATTATTGTCAGAAAATTGTATGAAATGAAACTATAAAGCCTGTGTTCATTGTGTTACTTCAATGCAGTCCTTTCCAAAGTATTTCTAGATCAAAAAATAAAGTCAGTCAGAATCAGTAACAATATACGTGCAGTTTAAACTTGCAGCTACTTCCTAACTTAATTTTTTTTTTGCTAAAATGGAATACTTTTCCTTCATGAACTCAAGGATCTCCTATTTTGTGGATCCTCAATGTTAAATCACTTTCATAAGCCACATGTCCCATATATCTTACATATATCCCAGAAAACAGAACTCTAGAAATTTCCTTAATAGTGGAGTGTGCATACTTTATATTCTTTCCCTTAAGGTCTAGATGCTAGGCTCACACAAATGACCCATGATGCAGAGCCAGAAAATATTTCTGAGGAAGAAAAGGTAATGGAACTAATTGAAAGAGAATTCCAAAGAATGATAAATAGGTACTTAAAAAGGATGCATACTATAAGAACTAACAGGCAAAATAAATGCATATTTTGAAACAATATAAAATCTGTGATTACAAATTCAGAAGATTAATACTAAGATCTCAGAAATGGCCAATATGTTGAAAGGGCAAAAGAGTATATGCAAAGCAATGGAAGTCCAAATTAGTGACCTTGAAGATAAATCCCTCAATACTAGTATGCTAGAAGAGCAATCAGAAAAGAGAATGAAGAAGTCCAAAGAAAGCCTAAGAATTATGAGGTGATTGGAATTTCAGAAAAGAAAGAAACAGTAAAAAGCACAGAGAAATTGTCTAATAGTTGTTGAAAGAAAACTTTCCTAATATCATGAATGATGAGAAGATAGAGATACATGAAACTGAGCGAACACTAAATAGGATATACTCCAAAAGAAAATCCTCAAGACATGCCATAATTGAACTTTCCAAAACCAAGGAAAGAATCCTGAGAGCAGCTGGGGAAAAACAAAAAGTTACCCATAAGGAAGAACCAGTAAGACTAAGCTCTGATTTCTCAGCAAAAACCATGCAAGCAAGAAGTCAATAGGATGACATATGCAAAACTATGAAAGAAAAAACTGCTAACCAAGTATCATATTCCCAGAAAAGCTGGCTCTAAAATACAGTGGCAAATTAAGACTCTCCTGATAAATAGAAATTAAATGAATTTGTGATAAGACCAACTTTGTGAAAAAATGCTAAAGGGTTTTCTTTGGACTGAGAAACAACAATAGGACACAATAATGTGAGATTAGCATCACCCAGAATTCAATCCTGATATGTTGTTGAGTACCATTGGGTCAGTTCCTACTCATGGCAACCCTGTATAGGATTTTCAAGGCTTTAAATCTTCTAGGGAGCAAAACGTCTCACCTTTCTTCTGTGGAGTGACTGGCAGGCTTGTGGGTTACAGTCCAGTGACTATCATATAGAAGTATTCAAAGTAAAACAAACCCACAAGACTGAAAATAGGGAATCAATGATATCATTTTATAATGACGTCAAATACACAGCAGAAAAAGAGAATAGTGTAGATACAGAACTTCCAAAAGGCAAGTAAGTCAAGTAGATTTCAAGATAAAACAGACTACTTTAATTAGAGAAAAAGATGAATAACTTGCAGGATAGCCTCAAAGAAAATGAATACACCTGCACATTTAAAGAAGAAAATCAAAAGATTTAGTAAACATTTACACAACAGAATTGAAAATGCAAAGAAAACCCACAAACAAAATGAACTCAGTACAGAAAATTACATGGAACAAACAACCAGCAGCACCATACACACACACACACATCACCACCAACACATGCACAGCAAAAAGACAGCAATCAATTCATACCTATGCACTAAATGTAAATAGATTAGTTGCATCAGTCAAGAGACATAGAGAGCAGAATGGATAAGAAAACAGGATCCTTCAATATGCTGTCTAGAAGAGATATATCAAAAACATGGAGACAGCCAAAATGCCAATCAACAAAAGAATGGTTAAACTTTGGTATATTTATACAATGGAATACTATACAATGTTGAAGAATAATGATGAATCTGAGAAACACCTCACAACATTAATAAAGCTAGAGGGCATTGTGTTGAGTGAAATTAGTGAATCACAAAAGGACAAACATTGTATTAGAACAATGTTGTAAAAAGTTAAGAAAAGGTTTTCTTGATAAAAGGAACAATCTATGATGGTTACAGGGTGGGTAAAGAATAAGGGAAAATTATTCATGGACTAGAGGGCAGATAGATATTAACATGGGTAAGAGGGTATGCAATATACTACAAGAGGAATGTTAGCAGAAGAAAGATGAAGGTAGCAGGAGACATAGAGAGGAATGCAATATTAAAGTGAATAGAGGTAAATATCTCTATTAACTCTTGGTACATGGAAGGGATTGCAACCATTGTAGTGAAACAAGATGTATGATTTGTTGAATGTAAAACTGATGGTGTGCTCTGTAGGCCTTTGCTCAAGTCACAATAAAAAGTTTTTTTGTTTTTTTAAAAAAGGTCCAGATGCTACATAAACACTAAAAGGAACGTCTTCACCAACTATTAAACATTTTTTCTAATCCCTTCAATTTCAATTACTGCCTTCACCAAGCTTTGCAACCTGGAGCATCTAGGTCCTCTCATCCTCCCACCCTGTCCTAAGGTTGAATAAAATCACTTGAAGTATATGTCCAGCGTTTAAGCCCTCATTCAGTTTAATTAAATAGAATTTAAATAAGAAAATTTCACAGCTTTTCAAATATTCCAGAGGCTGTGGACTTGTATCTGTTTGGCAGCCTGAAATATATTTTAAATTACAAGTTTACATGAACAGTCTTACAAAGATAAACAGAATGTGAAAGTTGGAAACAAAGAAGGGTTGGCAGCTGGAAAATTTGGCCTGGCGATAGAAACAATTCCAGCCACTGCATGGTGAGTTTTGCATGACCAGCGACTTATTTATTGCAAATAGCTTTCTTCAGCATTGGTGTATTTTTCAATAAATTGTGACTATACATATGGACCTCTCTAAGTGAAATCCCAGGAGTCAAACTGACTACATCTGTGAACAAAGACGATGGCGAAGCTCAATAACATCATTCAGAACAAGGCCAGGGGCCAACTGCAAAACAGATCATCAATTGATCACATGCAAGTTCAAGTAGAAGATTGAAAAAAATGAAAACAAGTCCTCAAAAGCCAAAGTATGACTTGAGTGTATCCCACCTGAATTTAGAGACCACGTGCAGAGGTTTGACTCACTGAACACCAATGACTGAAAACCAGCTAAGTTGTGGTTTGAAGATACCATACATGAAGAAAACAAAGGTCATTAAAAAGACAGGAAAGAAGAGACCAACTGGATATCAGAAGAGGCTTTGAAATTTACAGTAACTAAAGCAAGATGGATTGGCAAAGTGGTAGCATCAATGCGCTCAAGCACGGCCAACCATTGTGAGGTTGGACCAGGACAGGGCAGTGTTTTGTTCTGTTGCACATAGGGCCGATATGAGTTGGTACTGACTGGATGGCACCTAACAACAAAGCAAATGGAAGAAATTAGGCACTATGGGTTAATGCACTGGACTGCAAAGTTGGTTTGAACCACAAGGTTGGTGGTTCAAGCTCACCAGCTGCTCCTCAGAAATCCTATACAAGGTCGCTATGAGTTGGAACCAACTCAATAGCACTTAACAACAACAACAAGAGCTGAACAGAAGAATTTAAAGGGTAGCTTGAGAAGACAAAGTAAAGTATTATAATGAAATGTGCAAAGACCTGTAGTTAGAAAACCAGAAGGGAAGAAAATACTGGGCATTCCTCAATCTGAAAGAATGGAAGAAAAAATTCAAACCTCAAATTACAATATTGAAAGAGTCTATGGGCAAAATGTTGAATAATGCAGGAATCATGAAAAAAAAAAGATGAAAGGGATACATAGAGTCATTGTACTGAGAAGAATTGTTTATTGTTCAACTATTTCAGGAGGTATTGTATAATCAAGAACTGATGGTACTAAAGTAAGAATTCCAATATCTACTGAAGGCATTGTCAAAAACAAAACTTTAGGAATTGACAGAATATGAATTGAGATGGTTAACAGATGCAATACTGGAAGTGCTGATTCATTTATGTCACAAAATTTAGAAACAGTTGCATGGACAACCAAATGCAAGAGATTCATATTTGTGTTCATTCTAAAGAAAGTTTATTTAAAGAATGCAGAAATCATCAAACAAGTAAAAAAATTTTTTTTTTCAAACAAGTAAAATTTTTGCTGAAAGATTTCCATAGGGAATAGCCAGAAATTAAAGACAGATTCAGAAGAGAAAGTGGAATAAGGGATATCATTGTTGTCAGATCTTGGCTGAAAGCAGAGAATACCAGAAAGATGTTTGTTGTTGTTGCTAAGTGTTGTTTAGTTGGTTCTGACTCTTAGCCACCCTGTATAGGGTTTCCGAGGCTTTAAATCTTTGCAGAATCAGAAAGCCTCATCTTTCTCCCATGGAGCGACTGGTGGACTTGAACAGCAGACCTTGTGGTTCAGATGCTTATTGTATGGAGTCACGATGCACCCCAGAAATACCTGTGTTTTATTGTTCATGGAAAGGCATTCAACATTGTGGATGATAACAATTACCAATAACATTGGGAAGAAAAGGAATTCAAGAATACTTAATTGTGCTCATGTGAAACCTTCACACAACTAGGGGGAAATGTGTGGTTTAAAATCAGAAAAGGGTTGTATCTAAGGGCAGATTGCCCAATAAATTGGATAAAGATGAATTTACTAATTTGTACTTACTAGTTTGTAGTGCATAACTTCATATGTTTTTCATCACAATAAGCCAGTGCTTACCTTGGTTACTGGGTACTCTGTCTCTGTTAGGGATTGTAAATTTGAAAAGAGGTTTTGACATTGCAGGAAGGTACTGTGGGGTTGTGAGAGAGACAGATGCCAAATCTAGAAGCAAAATCTTTGATGTGGTGAAAAAAATGTAAAATTGTCCACTACAGATCAGTAAATAAGCACAAGTAAGGTTGTGCTTACCTTGCTTATTGGATAATTTGCTCCTGGTTGTATCCCTTTACCATACATATTCAATCTGTATACTGAGCAAATAATCCAAGAAGCTGGATTATATGGATGAAGAAGTGCAAGACATTGAAAACTCATTTGTTGCTATTGTTAAGCGTTGTCGAGTTGGTTGTGACTTACAGTGACCCTGTATAGTGTTTCAGAGGAGCGACTGGTGAGTTTGAACTGCTGACCTTGCAATTCAAAGTGACTTTGTGGTCCAGTGTTTATCCTACAGCACCATACCAGGACTCCGTTAACAACCTGCAATATATAGATGACAAAACTTTGCTTGCTGAAAGCCAAGAGGATTTAAATCACTTTATAGATGAAGTTCTCAGTATAGGTTACATCTCAACATAAAAAAACAAAAATCCTTACAACTGGTCAAATGAGCAACATCCTGATAAACAGAGAAAAGATTCAAGTTGTCAAAGATTTCATTTTAATTGGACTCACAAGTACTGCTATGGAAGCAACAGTCAAAAGATCAAACTATATATTATACTGAACAAATCTCCTGCAAGAGACCTCTTTAACATGTTCAAAACAAAGATGTCATTTTGAGGACTTAGGTGTGCCTGACCCAAACCATGGCATTTTCAATTGCCTAATATACATGTAGAAGCTGAACACTGAATATGGAAGATCAAAGAAGAATGGATGCTACTGAATTATTTGTTGTTGGTGAAGAATATTGAATATACCATGGATTTCCATGATAAATAATACATCTGCCTTGGAAGAAGTACAGTCAAAATACTCATTAAAAGCAAGAATGATGAAATTTCATCTCACAAACTTTGGACATGGTATCAGGAAGGAGCAGTCCATAGAGAAGAACATCATGCTTGGTAAGATAGAGGTCAGTGAAAAAGAAGAAGACCCTCAATGAGATGGATTGACACAGTGACCACAAAAATGGGCTCAAACATAGCAACAATTGTGAGGATGGTAAGGACTGGGCAGTGTTTCGTTCTGTTATACATAGGAGTATTATGAGCCAGAGCTTATGGTGCATAACAACAACAACAAAAGATAAAGGTAATAATTTATTTTGTTATATCTTTAAAGAATAATCTTATTAAAATAAATATAAAATATAACAAAAAGTGAAGAGCAAAGATGTCATCTTGAGGACTAAGGTATGCCTGACCCAAGCCATGATATTTTTAATAACCTCATATGCATGTGAAAGCTGGACAGTGAAGAAGGAAGACCATAGAAGAATTGATGCATTTGAGTTACGGTGTTGGAGGAGAATATTGAAAGTGCCATGGGCTGCCAAAAGAACCAATAGATCCGTTTTGGAAGAAGTGCAGCCAGAGTGCTCGTTGGAGGTCAAGATGGCCAAACTTTGTCTCTCATACTTCAGACATATTGTCAGGAGGGACCAGTCGCTGGAGAAGGATATCATGTTTGGTAAGGTGGAGGGTCAGAGAAAAAGAGGAAGATCCCCACCAAGATGGATTGGTCAAGTGGCAGTATCGATGGACTCGAACGTGGCAACATAGTTAGGTTGGCCCAGGATCGGGCAGTGTTTCGTTCTGTTGTGCATGAGGTCGCTATGGGTTGGTACCGATTCGATGGCACCTAACAACAACAACAAAGCTGACTGCACATTTAGTCCTACCACACTGATGCTGATAGGAATTCATTGAATAGTTAGCAACTGATTAAATGGTTTGCACTACATTTATATAAAATTTAGTGCTTATGTTAAAATTTATTTCTTACTTGTCAATCACGTAAGAAAAATTGTACTGATAGCATCCATCTTTAGGAAATCTATAAAATATAAAACATAATGAAGTTACAATAGCATCATTCCTTATATATTTCATAAACATTTCATCATTTGTTGTTGTTAGGTGCCATTGAGTCGCTTCTGACCCCTAGTAACACTATGTACAACATAATGAAACACTGCCGAATCCTAAGCCATCCTCACAATTGCTAATATGCTTGAGCCCATTGCTGCTATCTGTGTGCCAATCCGTCAGCAATGCGTCATCATGGTCAAGTCTACTCTGAGGCGGCAGTTCTTCCCCAGTCTTATTTAGCTCAGTGATTCTCAAACTAGAGAATACCTCAGAATCATCCCTTACTAGACAGAATCTCTGGGATTGGTAAATGTCCCCAGCATTTCTTCTTCTTTTTAAAAATCTGCTTGACATCTACTGATTTATCAGGTAGTTTTCATATACGTTAATTTAAAATTCATAGAAAATCTTTCAAATCGAAGGTTATTTCTTTGGATTGTTTTATCCCACATAAGTTTTTTTTCCCAACTTTTTTTTATTGTGAATTGAGTGAAGATTTACAGAACACATCATCAGTTTTACATAAAACAAATCATATACTATACTTCACTTCATTACATGGTTACAATCTCCTCCATGTACCAATAATTAACAGTTTTTATCTCTATTCACTGAAACTATTACATTTCTCCTTGTTTCTCTTGCTACCGTCATCTTTCCTCTGTTAACCTCCCTCTTGTTGCATATAGCCTGCCCTGTCACCTATGTTAGCATGTGTCTACTCTCTAGCACATGAATAATTTTCCCTCCTCTCTGCCAGCCATCATATCAAGAAAATCTTTTCTTAACATTTTGTAACATTGGTCTTATACAATATTTGTCCTTTGATGATTGACAAATTTCACTCAGCATAATTTCCTCCAGGCTCATCCATGTTGTGAGGTTTTCACAAATTTATCATTTACCTTTCAATGTTTTGTAGGATTCCATTGTGTATATATACCAAAGTTAGTTTGTTTACCGTTTTTCTATTGATGGGCATTTAGATTGTCTTCACCTTTTTGACATGTCTCTTGCAGATAGAATATTGAAAGATCCTATTTTTTTTAACCAGTCTGTACTCTGTTTCTTGACTGGTACATTTAATCCATTTTACATTCAGTGTAATTAGCACTAGGTATGAATAGACTGCTGTCATTTTTCTGTGTGCTGTTTTGTGTGTGTGGTGCTGCTGGATTCTTAGTTCCTCATAATTTTCATTTCATTTGTGGGTATTCTTTTCATATCAGTTTCTTTTGTGTTAATGTTTACTAAATCTCTCTGATTTTCCTCTTTTTTTATTTTGATGTGTAGGTGTATTATTTTTCTTTGCAATTACCCTACATAGTATTCATTTTTATTTTTACCCTTTTTAAACAGTCTGTTTTATCTTGAAATCTACTTGAATTCCTTGCCATTCGTAAGTTCAGTATTTACACTATTCCTTCTTTTTACTTTGTAGTTTTACATTGATATCTCCTGGTTCCCTATTTTCAGTCTTGTAGGTTAGTTTTACTTTAAATACTTGCATATCTGAATTGAGTTCTGGGTAGTGTTGTCATGTATGGTAATCTCAGACTATTTGTCTACTGTTGTTGTTTGTCAGTCCAAAGAACACCCTTTAGCATTTTTTGTAAAGTTGGTCTGGTCATTACAAATTCCTTTAATTTCTGTTTATCAGGAAATGTCCTAATTTTTGCTGTCATATTTGAGGGACAGCTTTGGTTGGTTGGCAATTTTTTTCTTTCAGATTTTTGTATATGTTATCCCATTACCTCTTGCCTGCATGGTTTCTGCTGAGAAATCAGAGCTAAGTCTTTTTGGTTGCCCTTTGAGGTAATTTTTTGCTTTTCCCAAGCTGCTGTCAGGATTCTTTCCTTGTCTTTGATTTTTGAAAGTTTGATTATGATATGTCTTGGTTTCCTTTTGGGATCTAGCCCTCCATAGCTATGTCCCTGTCCATGGGCTCAGGAGTCCCCAAGTCTCACTACACTTCAGACCAACCAACCCTTCCTCTTCTCTCTCTCATTTCAAGGTCCATGGGAGTCTATGGAACATGGTCAAGCTCAGCCCATATCTTCATTGCTGCCTTTTCCCCATTTCTGCTCACAAGTAGGCCAACATGTTCTCCAGCAAGCTTACATAACTGCTTATGTGTTCCTTTTGAGTTTCAGTCTTGGATGGGGTTTGTCCTGAAGGCACTTGATTTCTTCTTAAATATTTCAT